GATGCTGGTGTGATTGATTGGGATGGGAGATGGGTGGGGAGTGTGGAATGGTGTTAATGTTTAGGAAGGGGATCCCTTCCATTTAGGACTTGACGGTGCAAGTCCTTTTCCGGGGTTACTTCCCTTCTTTTAACTGCCACTAGTGACCCACACTTGAGAGTCACGGGTACCCTCTGTCACTAACATATCTGTCCATAGAGGGCCTTGTACCTCCCGTTCCTTTTGACTTCCTAAAGTGTTTCACAACTTTGGTCAGTGTAATAGGCACCAGCTCGGCTTGCAATAGCTGTGTGAGGGTTGTTTCATCAAAAGGTTTGCAATTTAAGTCACATTGCACACTTGTCATTATATCGCTTTGTACGTAGACAACTTCTTCAATTTTCTCTCACCCTCCTCGGAGCAAGGTTCCTCTGGTCTGCGTACTCTGGCTGTGGAAGATGATATAGCAGCTCATCAGTGGTTAGTTCTTACCATTTGTCCTCCTCACACCTACAGCTTCCACATCCTCCCCACTAACTCCAACCCATGGACTTACCCTTATGCCACAAGTGATTCTCTACTGCATTAGGCTTCTCAGGGTTTGCCTCTATAAATCCGTCAAAATCCCTTGTGATCAACTCCATTCTAGCGCCACTAGGTTCTTCCATGCCAGTGTCAAGGTCCTCCTCGTGTCACTTCTCCCAAGCCCGGACTCCTAGAATGTTTACAACAAAATTTTTGGGAAGTCAATTGAGTTTACTGAAGGTCACTACTAAGACCTTTCAAACATAGCTTTTGTGTAGAGTTTTTTGAAAGTTTGCAATGACCTGCTGGTCCTGGGCTGCGAGAAGGAGTGGAATTAGGAGGCAAAAAACTTGACCTTTAATGAAGTCATGTCCCCAGAAAGTCGCTCCTCCAACGTCGAAGGAATGACCAGGAGCATTGTCTAATACGGAGGCACTTAAGGTCCAATTTATTTTCAGGAGCTAAATTTTTCACAGTGGGGGGGCAAATGCATGTGTAACCTCAGTTCATGAAAAGAGTCTCAGTGACCCAGTTGCCTTATGTTTGCCCTCCCATCACACAACAAATTAGCCTTGAGGACTTGTTTTTTCAGAGAGATACACCAATAAAGGGCTTCACTTTGTATCACCACTGAATTGATAAACATCAAAGAGTAAGCCTCTTTCATAGGCTTATGCCCTGGAGTGCCTTTTCCTCCTGAGTTATGTAGGTCCTGCTTAGCATTTTCTTCCTAAACAGGCCTGTTTCGTCACAATTAAACACTTGTTTAGGCAAAACACACATCATCGTCACCATGCCCAGCCCTTCTAGGGCAGGGTAGGTGCCTGAGCCAGAGCTTTCAGCTCACAAGACTGTCATTTCCATTAGCCTCTTGGGGGCAGGGGATGCAGAGCACGAGGAGAGAGGCGCCTAGGCTTCTCCCTACCAGCCCCTAGAGGGCGGGGAATGTGGCTAGGCCTGGGGACAGTTGGTCCCGGAGATGAGGGGTACGATCAACACCATGCCCAGCCCTTCTAGGGCAGGGTTGGTGCCTGAGCCCGAGCTTGTAGCTCACAAGATGAGGGGGTACTTGTGCCTCCTCCCATGGAAGATTCAAGTCTCAGACACTCCCTAGACAGGGAGCCAGTGCCGGGCCACCACTTGGAAAAGGCCCCGGCCAGGAGAATACCGGCGAATCTTTAACAACAACAACAACTTGTTTAGGTTTCAATTCTTCACTGTCTATGTACTCCTTGAATTCCTTCACATATTTTTCAGCTGCTTTTTGGTCCAAACTGGCAGCCTCACCATGCCTTATCACACTATGTATGCCACTACGATTCTTAAATCTCTCAAGCCAACCTTTGCTGGCCTTAAATTCACTCACATCACCACTAGTTGCAGGCATTTTTCTAATTAAATCGTCATGCAACTTCCTAGCCTTTTCACATATGATCACTTGAGAGATGCTATCACCTGCTATCTGTTTTTCGTTTATCCACACCAATAACAGTCTCTCAACATCTATCACTTGCGTTCTGTTTCGAAAACAAAGTTGCACCTTTGGCAAGAACAGCTTCCTGGATTGACGTTTTCTTGGCCAAAATAGTAGCGATGGTTGATTGGGGTTTTGTGTACAACCTGGCCAGCTCGGAGACACGCACTCCACTTTCATACTTAGCAATGATCTCTTTCTTCATATCCATAGTAATTTTCACCCTTTTTGCTGTAGGGTTGGCACTAGAAGCTTTCTTGAGGCCCATGGTGACTTATTTTGTAGGTACAATCACTAAAAATGCTGTGATAATATGAAATGTTCCGATTGTATGTTTGGATGCGACCTCGGTGGCTGGCTTGTAAACACTGGCACCCACAGGGCAAGTGAGGCGTGCTCAGGCCACACGTGGACATGTCTTGAACGAATCGCGTTGAGCGAGTTTTTTAGCGCTAGCCGAGGCAAAATTTTTGCGTTAAAATGTATCGCTAGGCGGATTTAACATTATGCGATGCGTTCATTAGGCAAGGGTCCACTGTACCAAGGAACAACACCTGCAATAGAAAACCGCCCACAAAATTATCAACAACTACCTTCTCATCTGAAGCATGGTGATCACTTCCTAGTGAAACTGCCTGCTACTGCTTTCAAGAAAAAGACTCAGAAGAGGTGTTACGTCTGTGCACATACAAAAAAAAAACGCCCACAACAATGCAGAGACACTCGTTTTATGTGTGAGGAGTGTAAAACACCATTGTACATGACACCATGTTTCAAAGATTTCCACAGGCTGCAGAACTTCTAGAAACATGTCCTGTGATTGTATATGTGTATATAAAATATACAAAAATAGTAATAAACAACATCTTATATTATTCGTTTGTGTAAACAAGTTTTGTAAACAATATAGTGACAACAGCATTTGTGCAGTTATTTTGTAGTATAGACAGAAAAAAACTGACAAAATAGTGCTCATATTGGTCTCACAGGCCATAAAAGTTACTTGAAAAAAAAGATAAAAAAATAATAGAAAAAAGTACAAAAAAAAAATATTACTGGGTGACTGGTAGTCGGCGATGTTGCCGTATGCTGGTCATTTTATAATATAATTTCAAATTTTTTTCTGACCCTGAGAACAGGTTTGGGAGAGGGCCTGCCGACCCTGAAAGGGTTAAATAACAAAAAGGCACAATATCGTGACTGGAACAATACACAAATAACCCACATATAGGCATGGGTGATGAATGTTGCAGCGAGGAGAAGGCTGGAGGCAGTGGATTTGTCATGTCCGAGGGCAATGTGTGGTGTGAATATAATGCAGAGAATTCGTTGTTTGGAAGTTAGGAGGAGGTGCGGGATTACCAAAACTGTTGTCCAGAGGGCTGAGGAAGGGTTGTTGAGGTGGTTCGGACATGTAGAGAGAATGGAGCGAAACAGAATGACTTCAAGAGTGTATCAGTCTGTAGTGGAAGGAAGGCGGGGTAGGGGTCGGCCTAGGAAAGGTTGGAGGGAGGGGGTAAAGAAGATTTTGTGTGCGGGGGGCTTGGACTTCCAGCAGGCATGCGTGAGCGTGTTTGATAGGAGTGAATGGAGACGAATGGTTTTTAATACTTGACGTGCTGTTGGAGTGTGAGCAAAGTAACATTTATGAAGGGGTTCAGGGAAACCGGCAGGCCGGACTTGAGTCCTGGAGATGGGAAGTACAGTGCCTGCACTCTGAAGGAGGGGTGTTAATGTTGCAGTTTAAAAACTGTAGTGTAAAGCACCCTTCTGGCAAGACAGTGATGGAGTGAATGATGGTGAAAGTTTTTCTTTTTTGGGCCACCCTGCCTTGGTGGGAATTGGCCAGTGTGATAATAAAAAAAAAAATAGGAGAGAGGAGCTTGCAACGACATTTTGATGAGACTTGGACCATTTACAAAGTCACACTTTGTAAATGTGACTTTGTAAATGGTCCAAGTCAGACTGAAATGTCGTCGTAAGCTCCTTTCTCCCATGTGTGGGTTATTTGTGTACACAAATCATTCCCCATATGAATAAGAGGCTTGCAGACAGTGCAAAATACCCTCAATGAAAAGGGGGGGAGGGGTATTGACCCTTGGAACACTCTGAAGGTAGACTCCAGGTAAGGTCAGCCTTATTGGTTACAACAGTTATAGTTTTCAGCTGGTACTGCTTCACTAATATGATTTCTTTCTCTTATGTAGTATAATATTTAGAGATTTCTGCATTTGTAGCTCAGTGATTGTACTTTTATGTACATCAATATAAAATTAATTAATTATTCAAGAATGTATTCTTGGGAAAATATTTTTATGCTTTCTTTTTAGCATTTTCAGTACAGCAGTACCTTGCATAGTACATTTAATGTGTGTCAGAAAAATACTATACTATGCAATACCATGCTGATCAAGGTGTTATTATTATGTAGTTTTAATTTAGTGCATTCCAACAATATGATTAAATGCGTCGGATTGCAAAAATGTTTAGCCGTTTGCTTAGTACAAATCAATGCACACAAAATTCTTGCACAGACTTGCAAATAAAAAAAATTACAAAAAAAAATAGTGCTAAAGATTTTTATTACAGTTGTAAATAAACATTGTACCTTACATACAGTAAAGAAAAATATCAGTTTTTCCTTTTGGGCCACCCCACCTCAGTGGGATATGGCTGGTGTGTTGAAAGAATGATAATTTGTGTAACTGTATTTATGTGTACTTGCACCTAACTAAACCTACTAATTGGAAATCGTAAGCGATGATGTAAGAGGAACAGAGAGAAATAGTCTTGTTTGCCATAAAATGCAGTAAATAAAATTGATATTATTAAATTTATAAACCGTATTATATCAAAACCCATACTGTTGAAAACCATACTATGCAAGGTATGCTGCACCAAAATTTGTAGTTACATAATAGCATAAATATTTTAAAAATTTTGTGCATTCATTGCCTTCTGAAAAAGCAGTTTAACTAATGTTTCATGTGCATTCTTTACTAATATCACTGTTATTTTTCAGAGACATTGCTATAGCTACCAAAAATACAAAATTTAATAGAGGAATGTACCGAAATATCCTTCTTCATGGGCCACCAGGTACTGGCAAGACTTTGTTTGCCAAGGTAAATATTTATATTTCTACTTTAATTATAGCAGTGAATGTAATAATACGAGTACCTTCAGAGGAGCTGCTTTACATATGAAGGGTTCATGATTCAAAATATGAACTACTATTTGCTTCTTTAGATCAAACCCAATTACCTCACATTCCATAGTGTATTCCCATGAATACAATAAGAAAAAATAATGCTGGTACACGTGCTAATCATTAACCAATATTTTAGATTAACAGTTTTGGGTCCTTACGAGTCCAGTTTTAGGTCCTTTACAACTTGGGTGTCCTGTATGTGAGGTTGAAATTGCAAAAAGTTCCTTTTTTAGTGAATGATTTCACATTTACTGTTGATTTCAGTGATGATTGTAAGTCTGAGAGTAGTCATCACAGTTCAGGTTTTCACTGGTTGTGCAGTGAATGTATGTGCTTGGAGCAGATGTTGTTCTTTGTGAGGGAAAGAATTCTAACTTTCAGGGATGATTTGATGGATAGTGTTTCTCTGGCTGTAGTCACTGCAATGAGCAGATGAGAAGCTATATATCCTTAGCAGTGAATTGCAAAAGAATACATTCCCTGAACTTCTACAGTAATTAATTGAATATCTAGTTTTTGGCATTAGCCAGCTGACCCAGTGGCTAACGCATTGGGTCAGCTTGTAAGTTTTACGACTCACTAGCTGGTTTGTTCGCAATCGTGTCATTACAATTTCATAAGTCAGTTTTGGCATTATTATTTCATTAGTGTTTCTGTTAATTTTTTTAATAGAAATAACTACAGTATATGATTTCTTAATTTATTGTTTTCAGAAACTTGCAATGCACTCAGGTATGGACTATGCTATCATGACCGGAGGTGATATTGCATTGCTTGGCAGAGAATCAGTTGGTGCTATTCATAAGGTGAGCAAACAAGATTAGAGTAACTCTTTAGCTTTATGAGAGTTCACTATATGTAAATTTGCTTTTATGTGATGATCCCTATGTGATGATCCCTACAAGTAATTCCCTGTGTATAGTACATTTAATACTACACAATCAGTGCAAAAAGTAACAGTACTTTGTGTGGGGTATTTTGGGAGCCAAGATGCTGCCACAGTACAACCCAGTTGTACATTATTTACAACAGTGTACACATCTAACCTGCTTTGTTGCACCTTTTTCTGTAGTAGCTGTAGTCTCCATTATGGCCTCTCAGTCTTCTATTAAACCAAGACAGCAATGCCTAAGCGTACGTAATAAGGGATTTATATCAAGATTTATACCAACAATAAGGGATTTATATCAAGAAATGTAAGCAACAGAAGTTCAGTGGTTATATTACAGTTTTATACATCATTAGTAAGGCCTAACTAGATTATGCAGCTCAGTTCTGGTCTCCATATTACAGAATAGACATAAATTCGTTAGAAAACATTCAGCGTAGAATGACTAAATTAATACATAGCATTAGAAATCTTCCTTGTGAAGAAAGATTGAAGAACCTTAAATTACATTCACTTGTTAGACAAAGAATGAGGGGAGACATGATCGAAGTGTATAAGTGGAAGATGGGTATTAACCCTTTACCTGTTTGGGTCGTATATATACGTCTTACGAGCCACCGTGTTTGACGTAAATATACTCATAAATTCTAGCGGCTTCAAATCAAGCAGGAGAAAGCTGGTAGGCCCACATGTGAGAGAATGGGTCTGTGTGGTCAGTGTGCACCATATTAAAAAAATCCTGCAGCACGCAGTGCATAATGAGAAAAAAAAAACTCTGACCTTTTTTTTTTTAATTAAAATGCCGACTTTGTGGTCTATTTTCGTATAGTATTTATGGTTGTATTCTCGTTTTCTTGGTTTCATTTGATAAAATGGAAAACACATTATAGAAATAGAGATTATTTTGATTGGTTTTACTATAAAAAGAACCTGGAAATGGAGCTCAAAGTAGGGGAAATGTTTGATTTTTGCCGATGTTCAAAAGTAAACAAATGATGTCATTTTCCAATAAATGTCCAACTAGCCATTCTAATATGCAGTCATGACTGGGTTGACATTATTTGTTCAATTATTACAATATTACAGTAGTCTGCATAACAGTAAATCTATTTTTTGTTTGAATAAAAATTCAAAATAGAAAGCAAGAGTAATATCAGAGGGGCCTGGAGACGTGACTGATGAACAGAGAAAATGTTATTTTAGAGCCAGGAATGTCTGCATTGTTCTTTCTGGACCTTATTTTGAAATTGTCATATTTTTTAATTTTCATGAAATTGGCCAAATTGCAAATTTCTGACCATGTTATTGGGTAGTTGAAATCAGTAAATGGGCAGTTTCTTGTACTCATTCGATAGAAAAAATGGAGTTCTAAAGAAATACCTATGAGTTTGGTCAACTGGAACAATGGAATTAGCCGAAAATAGGGCTCAAAGTGGGCGAAATCGCCGAGGCCACTAACTTCATGAGAGCGTAATTCCGTCAGTTTTCCATCAAATTTCATTTTTTTGGTGTCATTACAATCGGGAAAAGATTCTCTTATCATTTCATAAGAAAAAATTATTTTTTTTTTAAATTTTGTGACACCAGGAGACACCTCAGGATTGGTGGTCATGATTTGGTCATGACCCAAATCTAATTTCCCCATTGGATTGTATCTAAATACAATTAATCCATTCCAGACCCCTGCGAACTGTATGTAAATACAGTAGACCGTTGTTTAACACAGTTTTGTCTTGCATGTTTTGGTTATGGCATGATTGAAGAATTGCAGCACACTTTTGTGTAACACTTCGTAAAATTAATTTAACACGGTTGCGGGAGGGGAAAAATTTTTGAGCGTACAGTTGCCTGCCGGATGGGATGGGCTTCAGTCATCCCCTGCCAGCATCAGCCACTTCCACCCCCGCTGACTTGACTGAATGACTTGACCGACTTACTGAATGACTTCATTGACTTATTGAATGACTTGACTGACTGACTTGACTTACTGGCTTGACTGACTTACTAACTTGACTGACTGAGTGACTCACTACTGAATTGACTTACTGACTTGACTGATTTATGCACACTCCGGTACAACCATCAACTTCAGTACCAGAACCTCGACCATCCATCTCAGTCCAGTAGGGCCACAGCATAACTCTCCACTTTCTTCACAGTCATTGACAAACACCAGCACCCACAATTTAAGGTAAGAAATACTATTATTTCTTTTGCATTTGTCGTCTTAAGCAGTGAAAACAGCATAATACATAGTGACAATGAACTACAATTATGTATTCCTTTTATTTTTGTAAGATCTGGAGGTCTAAAAAAAAGTTGTTTGGCATTTTGGGGGCTCCCAGGAATGCAACCCTATTTTCCCCCTAAGTTCTTCAGTTTGTTTAACATGGTTTTGTCTAACACGGTGTTTTCAGGAACATAACTACAGTGTTACACAACAGTCTACTGTAGATTTTTAAGCACAAAAATAGTTAATTACAGTGGTATATTGACTTATGAGTTAAATTTGTTCTGTGACCGAGCCCCTAACTCACTTTCCTTGTACATGTATAACAAATCAATTTTCCTCATTGAAATTAATTGAAATTCCATTAATTCATCCCAGCCCCCAAAAACTACCCAATTTTTTTGTTACTGGTTTTTAAATAAGAAAAATGTATTTATAAATAAGAAATATTGTATAAAAAATAATAAAAGAGAATGTAAAGAAATAAACTGGTTTTATAAAGTGTATTCACCTTGGAGATTAGGCAACTTGGGCTAATGAAAGATTCTGGTGGAGGTGGAGGGTGGAAAAGATAGGCAGAGGAGATTGAAGGAATTCGTTTCATTTCGTGCTTTTTCGGTTGCTTTCGTCTATCATAAACTCTATTGCTTAATCCTTAACGTACTTGCTTGGCTGGCATTATAGCCTTTATCGACTCCTTTTTTCATGGTTAGAAAAAAGAAATTTGGCAAAATAACTGCACAAAAAGCACAAAACACAAGCACAACACAAGAGAGATGCTTCCACAGTGAGGTAACCATGTGCACTGAATGATTGAGACGCGGGATGCTGGGCAGATGTTATGGCGTTCACTGTGCCAACTAGTGGCAGCATATCTGAAGTTCACTCATAACTTGGATTTTGGCTCGCAACTCAAAGCAAAAAATCAACTGAGCGACGGCTCATAACTTGGAAAATTCGTAGGTTGGGACACTCATAAGTCAAGGTACCACTGTATACCATAGAATGCACAGTGTAATAGTAACTAAATGTAAAAACTTTGAATAACACTGAGAAAACCTTGAACAACAGAGAAAACTAGCATTGCACGAGTCCGTTCTAGACCCCTACAAACCGTTTGCTGTAAACAGTTTTTTTTTTAAGAGTTTTAAAGGGCATCTAATGGCCGAGAAGTGAACTTCATTATTTATCATTTGATTTCTTTCATTTTTGGTGTACGTTAAGAAGCATCTTTCTATCACACATTGCCTAAGTGCCTGGTGGCCTGGTGGCTAAAGCTCTCGCTTCACACACGGAGGGCCCGGGTTCAATTCCCAGTGGGTGGAAACATTTTGACACGTTTCCTTACACCTGTTGTCCTGTTCACTTAGCAGCAAATAGGTACCTGGGTGTTAGCCGACTGGTGTGGGTCGCATCAGGGGACAAGATTGAGGACCCCAATGGAAATAAGTTAGACAGTCCTCGATGATGCACTGACTTTCTTGGGTTATCCTGGGTGGCTAACCCTCTGTTATTAAAAATCCTAATGAAATCTTATCTTAAGATAGCCCAACAAACAACTGAGAAAAAAATTTATTTACCAGAAATCATATATGGCAAGCCCTAGCCAGGTATGGCACTGCAAGAAACTGTTGGTGCACTACCTACTGATAAAACATTGCTAATCTGAATTTATCACGGTCATAATTACTGTAATTATGACCGTGGTGCACTTAGGAGTCTGTGGAGACAAAGAACTTTGTCCTTGGAGGCAAAGAGGGGAATGTATGAGAGTATAGTTTTACCAACACTCTTATATGGGTGTGAAGTGTGGGTGATGAATGTTGCAGCGAGGAGAAGGCTGGAGGCAGTGGAGATGTCATGTCTGAGGGCAATGTGTGGTGTGAATATAATGCAGAGAATTCGTAGTTTGGAAGTTAGGAGGAGGTGCGGGATTACCAAAACTGTTGTCCAGAGGGCTGAGGAAGGGTTGTTGAGGTGGTTCGATATGTAGAGAGAATGGAGCGAAACAGAAGACTTCAAGAGTGTATCAGTCTGTAGTGGAAGGAAGGCGGGGTAGGGGTCGGCTAGGAAGGGTTGGAGGGAGGGGGGAAGGAGGTTTGTGTGCGAGGGGCTTGGACTTCCAGCAGGCATGCGTGAGCGTGTTTGATAGGAGTGAATGGAGACAAATGGTTTTAATACTTGACGTGCGTTGGAGTGTGAGCAGGGTAACATTTATGAAGGGATTCAGGGAAAAACCCCAGCCGGACTTGAGTCCTGGAGATGGGAAGTACAGTGCCTGCACTCTGAAGGAGGGGTGTTAATGTTGCAGTTTAAAAACTGTAGTGTAAAGCACCCTTCTGGCAAGACAGTGATGGAGTGAATGATGGTGAAAGTTTTTCTTTTTCGGGCCACCCTGCCTTGGTGGGAATCGGCCAGTGTGATAATAATAAAAAAAAATAATCTACAAAAATGAGTGCGCATCGAAAAAAAAATTGGGAAAATATCTTTTTTTTTCAGTTTTAGGGTGCATTACGAGTGTATATAACAATTAGCCCTGTACTACACTACATTTTTTTCTAATATAAGTACCCAGGAAGGGATAAGAGGATGGTACTTTATCCTTTATTGTCTAGCGGTAACTTCATACCTCTGTCGGACCGCTCAGTATTATGGCAAATATTATTCATTCTAGAGTATTTACCATGTTTCTATGTTATTTATATTGTTTATTATGTCATATTAGATCAACTATGATAGATAAATAAGCCATAGTGTTGATATTAGCATAATAATAAAGCATATTCCCCCACATCATGAGAGTCAGGAATTCCTGCTGACATAAGCAAATGTTCTCAGATGGTTCCTGATTGGCTCTTAGACTCTGTATTAGCTCCACCCACTCTGTTATGATGCCAAATCATCAATTATTATATTAGAATAATACAAGAAATAAAAAAAATCTGAAAATTCACATGTGAGCATGCATGCTATGGATTGTGGCATCACCATATATGTTATAAATGACTATAATTCCTTGTAGGAACAGTACAACAATGATTCCTATACCAGAGTGTGAAGGCTTACTCAGCCCTGTAACAACTTCAGACAGTATTACCCAGGCTGGCTCCTCCTCAGGAAAATTAGTGAATAGAAAAAGAAATAATAACAGACAAACATAAACACTTTATTATGTAGAAAATATAAATTATAAAACACTTAAATATGAAATATTAATCCTACATTAAAGAAAATGAAAAATGAAAAATATAAATGATAACTGAATTCAACGCTAATTTAACACTTGGGTGTCTGGTGTTGGTGACACTGCTTGTTGAAATTGTAGCCGTTGCTGATGATGGGGGGGGGGGGGGTTGCAGGTGTTGGTGACCACCACTGGCTAGTTCTTCACAGATTAACGCCGTGAGTAGTATCCCGATGACAGGAAAGCAGGTTCTTTACCGCTGCAATGATGTGGGGTTACGTCCTGCAATTTCATACAGGTGCACAGGTAATTAGATCCAAAATGGAGAAGTCTTTGGACGTTAGTCCTTCTCCTGTTCTTCTCGTTGATTGACAGGTGACCCTCACTGTCATCCAAGCTGAAAAGATAGACAGGTTACCCACTGCTTAAATAATCACTCTCCTTGGCAGTGTACATTACTCAAAAGACGTGGTGATCATTACAACAGTCAACCTAGAGCAAAACTGAAAAGACTAAGTTTATTATTGATCAAAAGTGAAGCTTTTATCCAATAAATCCACTAGAATACAAGGCAGGCATGTACTTACAGTAGTGTTGGGAGCTGCGAGTCGAGTGATTTACTGTTTGACCAGAGCCCCATACGTCACCTTTCGAGGGGGGGGGAGAGGGAGGGGAAGGGATAGTGGGAGCTAGACTGACCCTACGTTAACAAGTAGCCGGCAGACAAACTATCACTTTAGGGGTGGGGGAGAAAAGACGGGAAAAATGGGAGCGTGACTTACCCTACCTTAACAAGTAGCCGGCAATGAAACTATCACTTTCGGGGAGGGGGAAGAAAGGCGGGAGCGTGACTTACCCTACCTTAACTAGTAGCCGGTAATGAAACTATTGTTACTATATTGCTACTCCTATCTATTGAACTTTTCCCTCACACAGAGTGTTACCAAAGTGTTAAGCTATTTTTGTAAATTGGCATGTGCAAAAAATAGAGCAGACTGTGAAAATTGGCACGGGTGTGTTTGTTCAGCACTTGATGATTATGTGTTCATGACCAGATGCAAAACTTTGGCAAATTTTTTGGTCGTGAACCGATTTCATCATGTTTGGAAGCATTCATGACCAGAGGTTCCACAGTATCTGAGCACCTCTGCAAAGACAGTGATTATGTGTAAATGATGGTCAAAGTGTTTCTTTTTTGTTGGGTCACCCTGCTTCATTGTGAGACAGTCGACATGTTGAAACAATATATACATCCTCTCCTCACTTAACGACAGAGTTCCATTCCTAAGACCATGTCAGTAAATGAATTCGTCGCTAAGCAAGGAACACGCTATAATGGTAGTGAGTTTGTGTCAGCCATCTTTGATATTGTTTTAATGTCATGTTTGCACCATTTATAACATTTTTTAGTATATTTTTAAATGCTTATACAGTCGTGTACTGTATATTGTAATAAACAGAATAGACGAAATCAGCTCTAATATACATTATTTAGATATGCATACTGCTAAGTGAGGAGAGGCTGTATATATTATTTATTAATTTATTTAATTATTAATGAATATTGCCATTTCACAGGTATTTGACTGGGCAGCCACATCACGGAAGGGTCTTGTTCTCTTTATTGATGAAGCCGAAGGATTCCTGCGGAAACGTCATGAAAATATTAGTGAGGAACTGCGCATGTCAATTAGTGCATTCTTGTATCGCACAGGTACCCAAACTGACAAGTAAGTTATGCCAGACTAAAGTACACAACTATATTCTTTTCATTCATAATTGGTCAACTTATAAAAATATATTACATGAGTACTGTAATAATGAAGTTAGTATGCAACATTTTTGCCCATGTGGCATTAAAACATCATTTTATAGCCTTCAGAGTAAATAAATTATGTGTGTGTGTGTGGTGTGTGTGTATTTAAGTGCATGTGTTTGTGTGTGTACAGGAAGTACAGTAGCTGTACTGTAAAGGAGGGATAGAGATACAGTAGATCGCCATTTAACACGATAGTTACGTTCCTGAAAACTCTGTGTTAGGTAAAATCATGTTAGATGAACTGAAGAACTTATGGGAAAAATAGGGTTACATTCCTTGGAGCCCCCAAAAAGCCAAACAACTTTTTTAGGCCTCCACATCGTACAAAAATAAAAGTGAATATGTAATTGTAGTTCTTGTTCTTGTTCTTGTCCAGACCAGAGCTTTGGTGAGATGGGTAAGGAAGAAGGATGGGTAAGGATAGAAATTTTGGAAAAGGGTGGGAGGGGGGAGAGAGGTAGGATATAAAAGGTAAGTGGCCCAACCACTTTGGTGTAATTTAAAAAGTGTACGTGAAATGATAAGATATTTTTTAAAAGGGTAAAAGACAAACCCATAAAGGAGTCACATAGATAAAAACAGATATTAAGTCCCATGCCCTCTAAATTTGGGTAAAATTTTATAAAAATTTAAAATTTTTTTTTTTTTTTTTTTTTTTTTTTTTTTTGGGGATTCCCAAAAGGGATATTTATGCGACAAATTAAAAAAAGCAAATAATTTTCTGGCCCCCCATTTTTATTATGTGACAATGGTTTTCTTACGGGTTGGGTCCCACCCCCAAAAGAAATTTGAAATTTTTTTACATTAGATTTTAATAAGATTTCTCCCAAATTTGGGGGGGGCCGAGATGTTCTCAGTATACATAAAGGGTTCTGGTTTACCCAATCTTCTTCCGGGGAGGTTCCCTAAATACCTGGGTCATGGTAATAATCTTTATGTTAAAAAACAAACGGACCCTCTGTGGGGGAAAAGGTCATTTTTTTGGGGCCTGTGAGGGGGAGTATTGATAAAATTTTTTTTCCATGGTATTTACCACTTGTTTTGGATGTTCTCTATCTTGGCATGTATAGTTCTTGCATTGTTTTGAGTTTTTTCCCCTTTTTTTAGGGTGAAAGACATACATTTATGGCAGTAAAATCTTTTTTGTATGTGAAAAATCTCCCATTTTAAACCTTGTCTCTCCTCCTGGTATGGGTTTAATGAAGCGAAGAGCTCTATTTGGACCCTTTGTAACCATGGGCAAAATTGGTTTTTTATTGTTAATGACATTGGGCAAAAGGGGTATTGGGAGTATAGGTCGTATTAACATTTTATACAGATGTTTTTTGACATTTTTGGGGGCTTGATTGAATGGGAAAGGACTGAAAAACCGGGCTTTGGCTATTTTGACCCTTTTTTATTTACATGAATGTTGAGTGGGCAGCCTGTCTATTTCATATCCCAAAATCTTTTTGGGGTTTCTAAGGGCTAAAGGTGTACCTTTGATGGAAAACCCCCCTTTAAATTTTAAATTTGTTGTTTGAAAAAACACCCCTATCGTGCTAAACAAGGACCTTGTCAGGTTTAGTCGTAATTCCCATTTTTTTTCCCAAATTAGAGGGTTCGACGAAGTTCAATTTTTCCATTTTTTCTATGCCTTCTCCAAAATTTGTTTTTTCCTGTTCCCGGGGGTTGATGAGTGACATAAAATTAAATCACTGAAAAACCTGTGTCAAAATTTGTTTTAAAATTAAACTCTGGTTGGGGAAAGGGGTCATTCACAAAAATGTTGAACAGAAGTGGACTGAGACAAAACCTTGGGGGGACCCAGCTTTTTGGGTTTTAAAAAGCCCTCTGTCGACCGGGCTATGAAAGGGGGAAATGATTTTTCTTTTGAGTTAAGAAATTATTTTTTTCTCTGAAAAAAAGTCCGTTATGGTCTGGTAGGTAAATTGATTTGTAAAAAAAGGGGCCATCTTTCCCAAAACATCAAAAGTTTTTATGAACATCTCTGGGGGAAATTTAAGGCAAGATTCCCCTGATTTTTTTTTAGACTTGTTTAAGTATCGAAAATAACATTTATTACTTTTTTTGGTACCTCTATGTGTTCGAAAGCCAAATTTTTTTTTTAAAAAGTAAAGTAAATAAACTCCATATATATTTTCAATCTGTTGGAAAGGCCCTTTTCTCAAGAATTTTTCCAGTGATTTCAAGAAAAAGATATAGGGCAAATAGTTCCCAGGTTGGTGGTTGTCTTTTTTGGGTTTCCCAAAAGAAAGATCATTTTAGCAGTCTTAAAAACCCAACTGGAAAATGTCCTGGGGCCAAAAAGGGGCCCATTAAAGAATTTACCAAAGACTGTTTAAAAATTTTCGGGGTTAGGAACTTTATTTGTTTCATTGTTTTTCCCCAGAGACCCGGGGGCTCATTTCGCATTCTTCCAATAACCTGACTCATTTTCTAGTAAGTAATAGGTCAAATAAAACGGGGTGGGTTTCTTCCCAAGGGGTTTTAAGTATCGATGGAAGGGAGTGGTTGTAGATCATCCGTTCTCATCTCTCCTTTTTTTTTACCAAAAATGATTAAAGATTATTGTTTTAAAATTTACGAAATGTTTTTTGTGGGAGAGAATTTTCTCCCATACATCACCCCTCAAATTGCCTGGGCCTGTGGATCGTCAAGTTTTTAAATTTTAACATCCCCATCATCCTCATCAGTGAAGGGATGAAAAGGTAATTAGGAGCCTTGTGCTTTGCCCCTAAAAAATTTCGGGTTTACCCAAAAAATTTTTCTGGTTTCACGTTTATAAATGATTCTTGAAGAACTAGCAAATTTTCCAAAAAAGTCCCATTTGATGATAATCATGTTAATTAATTCTTTTCCTTTTAAACGGTGCAAATTTAGCTACTGGTGGGTTGTCGCGTTTGAAGATGCCCCTTTAACTTCTGCCCTTTTTAATTTTTTAAAATTTTCTCTAAATTTCCCCCAGTAGGTTTTTTATTGTTTTGGGATATCTTTTTGGAAGCTAATTTTACAAGTTGCATTTAGTTCTTCAAATTTTTGATTATGCAGGGCCTGGGTTGCATCATCTTTTCAGTGGAAGGTTTTGATTTTTTCCCAAAGACACAATTTCATCGTCACCCCGAAATGCCGAAGGGGGCAAATTTCCCAGGGTGTTAAAATTGGGTTTTTGGAGGTTCGGTATTCTAAATGGAAAAAGTTTTTAGTTGTATTATTTAAAGGGTTTTGGTAGTCCCACGTTTTCCTTTAGGAGATATAAAGACAGTGAATGATGGGCAAAGTCCTGTTTGTTTGTACTATTTTGGTGTCCCCCGGTGAGGTCCAAAAGTACGATTTAAAAAATGGGGGCCCTTTAAAAGACAAGTTTCTAGCTGTTTATGAATTAAATAGTTTTTTTCCTTTTAAAATCACCCAGTGGAAAAACCAGCTCCAAAAGTTTTAAGGGCAGGGTGATGGCATTAAAATCTCCCGCTAGAATTGTTGGGAAAAATTTCTGCTTAATATCCTATGTAGGGGGAATTGACTCTATATTTGTTGTCTTCGGGGGGGAAAAAATTTCCCGTTACTATCACTAGTTGTCCATGAGCGTTTTTCATTTCTATTTCAAGAAAGTTTTTTCTTTATCAACATGAATAAATTTTTTTTTGGGAAAAGCCTAATTTAATAAGAAAAACTACACCACTAAAGGGTCCTCTCGATTTTTCCCCAGTAGGGGGTAACCACGTAAATTTTTTATGTTGATCAACTCTTGCGCTGTCTTTGTTCAAAATTAACATCGGGGTTGTAAATTATGTAATTCAACCTCAAAGGGGGTAACGGTTATTAAAGAAATTTAACATTAAGTTGGGAAAATTTTAATCCCCATTAAATTTCTTGCACTTCGCCGTTTACTGCGGTCTGAACGCCGCAAGTAATGTCATGTTTTTTTTCCACCCCTATCCCTGCCCGGACTCATCAAGGGGAAAGGGGGGAACCCTTTTGCTTTGTTTTCTTGTGTATTAAAAAAAGCCATCCTCTTTTATAGAAGGTGGAAAATTAAAAAGGGCTCATTAGAATCGTTAGAGTCCTCATCAGAAAACTGAGGTTGTTTCCCCGTTACAGGAAGCCCGAGCCTCATGAAGTTAATGGGAGGGGTGTGGAGGCTCCTAGGGAAAATTTGGTAGGCAAGGTGATTACCCTGGGAAAATTCCTGTTTCAACAGGTTCAGCTTTTTTTAAACGGGAGAAATAGGCACCAATTTCTGGGGCATTGTTATGTTAGGTTTTTGACTTAAACGGGGTTTAGGGGGATGCGAGGTGGGCGACCCGGGCCGGGATGACTTTGGCTTTTTTTTTAGATGTAGAGTAGGGTAAAATACTTCTTGTTATGAGAAGGGTGGGTCCTAATAGCCTTCACGTTTTTTGGGATAGTGATGGGGTGTCCCCTTTTGCCATTAACAGATCATTTAAAACCCGGGGAGCAGAGTTGAAAGTCACCACCTGCTATGTTTTTTGGCCATCAAAAACATTTGTTTTTGCTCTCATCAAAATTCCCCCCGGGTGTGGATACCTGAGACATAGGAGATGAGACCGAAAACCCGGGTTTTTTTGCGTTTGTGTATTTTTGTAGGTGAGGGGGTTGATTTGGGGCGCTCCCAAAAGGGGCCCCCCAAAATTCCCCCCCCCAAAAATTGGAAAAACCCTTGGTAGAGACTTGAGGAGTCCCCCTTGATCCGGGGAAAAGCTGGGAAGGGAATTTGGGGGCTTTGTTGGCAGTGTCTGGGATGGGCTTCTTAGAAGTGGACAGTTTCTTGGTTCAATAATTTTCTGCATTTCCCTTTTTTTTTTCAGGACAAAATTTGCAGAAAAAAGCATGATGTTTTCCCTTGCAGAGGGGCACATTTGGGTTTTTTTTTTTTATTACAATCTCGATAAAAATGTTTGGGCCCGAGCAAATGCTTTCAAATCTGTCCATTGAGTACTGCATTTGTTTGGTTTTTTATGCCCCAAAAGGCCCTAACACTTAAAACATTGTTTTCCCCACTGACAAAAACATTCAAGAGAGATTTTTGGGCGGTGGGACATCTGGGGCCAAAAAAATTTTGAAGCCATTTTGACACACAAGTTTGGCCTCCTCAGGTGTCTCAAGTATTAACTTTAAGGTTACCTTGTTGTTGTTAGGATTAGAGAATTTATGTGCTTCTACAGCCCTAAAGTCAGAATTCTCTGTATTAAAGTCCTCAACAATTTCATTCGCTGTGCTATGTTTCATGAAACTGTTGATTCTGGCCACAAACACAGTCCTCTGAGCTTGATAGCTCTCAGGTGCAACTGGGGTAACACCAGAAGTCTTCAGTTTTTCAAGCACATCATGCTTCAGCAGTTGAAGTAACTCTTCTTCCGAAGAGAGGAGAAGTACTGCTCCAGCGTGGGTTTGAAAAACATCCACTGGAGCAACAGTTGAGTTCGAGCAAATACATGCTAGAATTTCTTTCATCGACATTTGATTTCCATCAATGCGTAATCTTACTCGTATCCTCGCCATGATGTCTAGGAAGGAACATCTGGCAGAGGAGTTTCTTAACAAAAAGGGAACTTTCCTTGATGTTATACTAGCATCCTATTTCAGCTGACTTATGAAGGTCAGCCCCTAAGATAGCCTACCCTCGAGTGGTGAGGGGAAAGGGCCCAAGGCAAAGATTGGCCAGATTTTAAAAAACCACACGGGCTACCGGATGGTCAAAATGCCTTGTGTTAACTCGCCAAAGCGAAGTTCAGAAGGATAGCAATGTATGTAGTGTGTTAGTGTGTGGGCCAGTGTTGATGTTTGGGTGAGGGGAGGATGGGGAAGGATGGGGGGATGGGGAAGAGAGGGGTGAACAAGCAAGCAAGTCACCGCCTTACCCTCTTGATGGGATGGGGCTCGAAGTGACTGCAAGCAAGTTTCCTCTCAGCTCTGGTGAAGAACTACTCAGGATAACCCAAGAAAAATCTCGAGCAACAGTGTTCAGAGTTGCTCAGCTGAAGAGCAGGAACGACGACGTCTTCTCTCCACGGTGGCTGGGCTGCTTCTCCATTTGTGTTGTCAATTGTAGTTCATTGTTGTGATGTATTATGTTGTTTTTACTGCTTAAGACTAAAAATGTAACAGAAATAATAGTATTTCTTGCCATAAATTGTGGGTGCTGGTGTTTGTGGATGATTGTGGAGAGAGTGGAAAGTTATGCTGTGGCCCTACTGGGCTGAGGTGGATGGCAGAGGTTCTGGTACTGAAGTTGATGGTTGTACTGGAGTGTCTTACTATAACCCTTAAACAGTCCAAACGGTTCTTACGCGTAGCGCCCCAAACGTATATATACGTTTTATTTTTCTTGCCTTCAAATTTGGCATGATTGGCCTGAGATGCCTTGTCAGCATAGAATGGGTCCTAACACTCAATGTGCACAGTATTAAAAAAATCTGGGACCACATAGTACCTTGTGGGAGCGCCAGTTAAATTGAGCGCCAGCTAGAACAAGCAGTGAGCAAACACCAAGGATTCACTGATGTGATGTCATATTAACACTCCTCTTTTATGAGGAAACTGCTGAATAAGCCCATGGTGGCTTATTTAGCAGTTACAAGCACTAAAAGCAATGGAATAATAGAAAATATATCGCATGTACGCGTGGAACCGTCCTCAGTGGCTTGTAAGGAGTGACACACTGGCTGGTACATGGGGTGACTCGCCGGGCCCGCTCAGGGCGCCATGTGGACACATTCGGGACGAAAGCTCCTAACCAAGTTTTTAGGTGTTATCCAAGCCAATTTTTTTATGCCAAAGCAAGGCGTTGTCCAATTTTGGCGCTATCTGATGCAGGTGTTAACTGAGGGTCCACTGTATTTATATTTATATTAATATTTCAGTCTTATTCTCCACAGGTAAAGTGGAAAAAGAGTTATTCGTTCATAAACCATGTGTGTCGTAAGAGGCGACTAAATTGCCGGGAGCAAGGGGCTAGCAACCTTCTCTTGGAGTTTACCTGGAGAGAGTTCCGGGGGTCAACGCCCCCGCGGCCCGGTCTGTGACCAGGCCTCCTGGTGGATCAGAGCCTGATCAACCAGGCTGTTGCTGCTGGCTGCACGCAAACCAACGTACGAGCCACAGCCCGGCTGGTCAGGAACCGACTTTAGGTGCTTGTCCAGTGCCAGCTTGAAGACTGCCAGGGGTCTGTTGGTAATCCCCCTTATGTATGCTGGGAGGCAGTTGAACAGTCTCGGGCCCCTGACACTTATTGTATGGTCTCTTAACCTGCTAGTGACACCCCTGCTTTTCATTGGGGGGATGTTGCATCGTCTGCCAAGTCTTTTGCTTTTCGTAGTGAGTGATTTTCGTGTGCAAGTTCGGTACTAGTCCCTCTAGGATTTTCCAGGTGTATATAATCATGTATCTCTCCCGCCTGCATTCCAGGGAATACAGTTTTAGGAACCTCAAGCGCTCCCAGTAATTGAGGTGTTTTATCTCCGTTATGCGCGCCGTGAAGGTTCTCTGTACATTTTCTAGGTCAGCAATTTCACCTGCCTTGAAAGGTGCTGTTAGTGTGCAGCATAATCCAGCCTAGATAGAACAAGTGACCTGAAGAGTGTCATCATGGGCTTGGCATCCCTAGTTTTGAAGGTTCTCATTATCCATCCTGTCATTTTTCTAGCAGATGCAATTGATACAATGTTATGGTCCTTGAAGGTGAGATCCTCCGACATGATCACTCCCAGGTCTTTGACATTGGTGTTTCGCTCTATTTTGTGGCCAGAATTTGTTTTGAACTCTGATGAAGATTTAATTTCCTCGTGTTTACCATATCTGAGTAATTGAAATTTCTCATCGTTGAACTTGATATTGTTTTCTGCAGCCCACTGAAAGATTCGGTTGATGTCCGCCTGGAGCCTTGCAGTGTCTGCAATGGAAGACACTGTCATGCAGATTTGGGTGTCATCTGCAAAGGAAGACACGGTGCTGTGGCTGACATCCTTGTCTATGTCGGATATGAGGATGAGGAACAAGATGGGAGCGAGTACTGTGCCTTGTGGAACAGAGCTTTTCACCGTAGTTGCCTCGGACTTTACTCTGTTGACGACTACTCTCTGTGTTCTGTTAGTGAGGAAATTATAGATCCATCGACCGACTTTTCCTGTTATTCCTTTAGCACGCATTTTGTGCGCTATTACGCCATGGTCACACTTGTCGAAGGCTTTTGCAGAGTCTGTATATATTACATCTGCATTCTTTTTGTCTTCTAGTGCATTTAGGACCTTGTCGTAGTGATCCAATAGTTGAGACTAGCGGCTTGCTAAAAACTGAGTCATATTGGGACTTGAGTAGCTCACTCATTTCCTTGCTGTCATCTGTGTAGGACCCATCTTGTTTAAGTAGGGGCCCAATACTGGACGTTGTTCTCGACTTTGATTTGGCATAGGAGAAGAAATACTTTGGGTTTCTTTCGATTTCATTTATGGCTTTTAGTTCTTCCCGCGATTCCTGACTCCTATAAGATTCCTTTAGCTTAAGTTCGATGCTTGCTATTTCTCTGACCAGTGTCTCCCTACGCATTTCAGATATATTGACCTCTTTTAGCCGCTCTGTTATTCTTTTCCGTCGCCTGTAAAGGGAGCGCCTGTCTCTTTCTATTTTACATCTACTCCTCCTTTTTCTTAGAGGAATAAGCCTTGTGCATACATCGAGTGCCACCAAGTTAATCTGTTCTAGGCATAAGTTGGGGTCTGTGTTGCTTAGTATATCTTCCCAGCTTATATCGGTTAGGACTTGGTTTACTTGGTCCCACTTTATGTTTTTGTTATTGAAGTTGAATTTGGTGAATGCTCCCTCGTGACTAATCTCATTATGTCGGTCTGGGGCTCCACGCATACATGTCTGAACCTCAGTTATGTTGTGATCTGAGTATATTGTTTTTGATATGGTGACATTTCTTATCAGATCATCATTGTTAGTGAAGATGAGGTCTAGTGTATTCTCCAGTCTAGTAGGCTCTATTATTTGCTGGTTTAAATTGAATTTTGTGCAAATTACTAAATTTAAAAAGAAAAACTAAAGTTTTTCTTTTTAGGTCACCCTGCCTCCATGAGATATGGCCGGTTTGTTGAAAAAAAATTCAGTCTTATACGTATTATTCATGGGGAAGTGGAGAAGAATCTTTCCTCCATAAGCCATGCATGTCATAAGGAGTGACTAAAATGCCAGGAACAAAGGGCTAGTAACCCTTTTTGTTGTATAAGTTACTAATTATAAAAATAAGAAAAACTGCATTTTTTTTGGGGTCACTCTGCCTTGGTGGGAAACAGCTGGTATATTAAAAAAATAATAAAGAATTTTAAGTTATTTTATTTGCAGGAATTTTTTGCTTTTAACAGATTTATGTTGGTCTTGGCTTCCAATACTCCTGAAGTACTTGATTTTGCTGTAGTAGATCGAGTCCATGAACCTGTCGAGTTTCCTCTACCTACTATGACTGAGCGAGAACGACTGGTCAGACTCTATTTTGAAAAGTACATTCTTTTACCAGCATCCGAAGGTAAAAGGTAAGCTTGAAACTTAATTGCTTATTGTGTGTGATTACTTATTTGCAGTTAAAGAATAAAAAGGCACAATACCATGACTGGAACAGTACACAAATAATCTGCAAATAGGAGGCTGAAACTCATGATCACATTTCGGTCCGACTTGTGACCAGTCAATGGTCCAAGTCGGACCAAAACATCTTCATAAGATTCAGTCTTCTTTGTACTAGTTATTTATGTATTATTTACAGTGTACAAGGTAGAAATGAAGCACATGTTATCTGCCCTCTTGTGTTTTTTACATTTGTTACTGAAATTAATCCAGTTTTTATGTACACCTTTTCCCATGGTGCATTCTAAAAATCCATTACTGTTGGAGAAGAAATATTTTCTTGCATTTCATATAATTTTTTAATGCATATTATTTGTTTTTGTTTTTAGCAGAAGTAGTGAAATTTTCTCTCCATTTTATTTAACCCTTTCAGGGTTTCCGACGTACTAGTACGGCTTATGCACCAGGGATATTGACGTACTAGTACGTGTAAATTCTAGTGCCTTCAAATCTAGTGAGAGAAAGCTGGTAGGCCTACATATGAAAGAATAGGTCTATGTGGTCAGTGTGCACAATATAAAAAAATCCTGCAGCACACAGTGCATAATGAGAAAAAAAAAACTTTGACAGTGGTTTTGGTTTAAAACAGCGACTCTGCACTGTATTTTCATATGCTATTTATGGTTGTATTCTAGCTTTCCTGGTCTCATTTTATAGAATGGAAGACATATTACAGAAATTGAAATGATTTTGACTGGTTTCACAATGAAAAGTACCTTGAAATTGAGCTCAAATTTGCAGAAATGTTCAATTTTTGCCAGAGTTCAAAAGTAAACAAATCATGCCACACGTCCAATACACATCAACTGGTGAGTCTAATATTCTTTTACAAGTGCGCCCTGCCTCGGTGGGAGATGGCCGACTTGTTGAAAAAAAAAAAAAGTGCGCTGATATTTTATTTATACCATTTCTACACTAATGCAGTAGTCTGCATAACAGTAAATCCATTTTTTGTGAGAATAAAAATTCAAAGGAGAAAGCAAAAGAAATGTAAGAGAGGCCTGGGGACATGACTAATGAACAGAGGAAATGTTATTTTAGTGCCAGGAATGTCTGTCTTGTTTATTCTGGACCTTATTTGGAAATTAGCATCTTTTGAAATTTTTGTGAAATTGGCAAAATTGCTAATTTCTGACCCCTTTATTGGATAGTTGAAATTGGTAAATGGGTGGTTTCTTGTACTCATTCGATAGAAAAAAAATGAAGTTCTAGTACATTGGAATTGGTCGAAAATAGGGCTCAAAGTGGGTGAAATCGCTGATGCGTAAACATCATCAAGACCGCTAACTTCGCAGAGCATAAGTCCGAAAGTTTTCCATCGTATTTCATACTTTTGGTGTCATTATGATTGGGAAAACATTCTCTATCTTTTCATAAAAAATTTTTTTTTTTTTTTTTTTTTCCGAAAAATTTTTCAACCCTGAGAACAAGTTTAGGAGGGGGTCTCTCAACCCTGAAAGGGTTAAATTTCTTGAAAGTAGTTAACCAGTTCTCTGTCACATACTAGTACATCCATGGGATCTATCTGATGTACTGATATGGATAATTCATAGTGCCCTTAAATTTGCCTCAAATGGAAAATATAGATCTATATATGAAAGAATGTGTCTGTGCATTGGATGTGAGCTGCATACCAAAATACCTGCTGTACACTGAGACATATTAAGAACAGTTACTCTCTCAGCCATTGTTAACTATGGCTGCCATACACTGAGCATGTTAGGAACAGCTGCTATCTCAGCCTTTGTTAATTATGGCTGTCGTGCACTGAGCATATTAGAAACAGTTACTCTCTCAGTCTTTGTTAACTGTGGCTGCTGTACACTGAGTATGTTAGGAACAGCTACTCTCTCAGCCTTTGTTAACTATGGCTGCCATACACATAGCATGTTAGGAACAGCTGCTCTCTCAGCCTCTTAACTATGGCTTCCAAACATGAATTCCTCACTCTCACAATTAACTAACAGTTGTGCATGGTAATTCTGATATGGAGTTCCACAGTTCTGAGACTAATGTGAGTGAAGGAATGGAGTTCCACAGTTCTGAGACTAATGTGAGTGAAGGAAATGGCCATAATAACATCTCAAACCCAGCCCACCCACAAGTGCAACATCACACCACCACAATGGTGAAGAGATTCCATCTTATCTGCAGCCTGGTAATCAGTCACTGCCTAGCACTAATTTTTCCTACTGTAAAAAAAAAAAAAAAGGTCTCAAAAGAGATGTCAAGTGTGGGCTCATATCATAAGAAGACCTTCACAGCACAAATATACATACAAGATATATGTGTGCATATCTTATGAGACACTACCTCATTCCTCATTTTGAGGAGTTCAACATACAGTAGGGCCGCACTTATATGGCAGGTTACTGCCGGAAAGCAGAACGCCATTTGTTTCCACTTATAAATGTCAGATAATAAGTTTACACTAACATATATTAACCCTTTCAGGGTCCAGAGGCCAAATTTCAAAGTGCACACCAGGGTCTAAGAATTTAAAAAAAAACAAAAAAATTATTTTTTCTTAAGAAATGGTAGAGAATCTTTTTCTGAAGGTAATAAAACAAAAAGTATGAAATTTGATGGAAAATTGACGAAATTATGCTCTTGCGAATTTTGGTGTGTCAGCGATATTTACGAATCGGTGATTTTGCAGACTTTGACTCCCATTTTAGGCCAATTACATTATTCCAGTCGACGAAATTCTTATTATTCCACTAGTATTGCTTCTATTCTATCGATTGAGCACAATAAATCGCCCAACTGTTTCAACTACAAAATAAAGTGATCGGAAATTGGTAATTTGGCCAATTTAACACAAAGTTCAAAATATTCCAATTTCAAAACAGGGTCCAGAATAAACAATGCAGACATTCCTGGCACTGAACTAAAATTTCCTCTGTTCATTAGTTACGTTTTGAGGCTTTACAAATGAATTCCATTTTGATTTTTTATTCACATAATGAATTTTTATTTCTGTAATATGTCTTCCATTCTATCAAATGAGACCAAGAAATCGCAAATACAACTATAAAAAACATGCGAAAAAACACTGCAAAGTCGCTGTTTTAATCGAAAATCACGGTCTCAGTGTTTTTTCTCTCAGTATACACTGTGTGCTGCAGGATTTGTTTTATGCGGTGCACACATACCACATATATGTATTCTCTCATATCTAGACCAAAATTTACCACTCACAGCTTATCAGAGTGAGCTGAGCTCATGGCGTAGATCTATGGTTTGGACCCTGAATGTAAAGCCGTAGATCTACGGCACGGACCCTGAAAGGGTTAAGTTAGCAATAGAACAAGGCATTAAAAAAATAATAATAAGTAAAATACACACATTACTTACCTCAAAATATTTGTAGTCTTAATGTAGGGTGAGAAGGGAGTAGTGTTTATTTTCGGACCGCCGGGTACGGGACCTGTCTGCCGCCCACTCTGTCCGCGTCCCCGCACAGGCGCCGTGAGCAGTCTGGCTTTGTTTATGCTTGAGTGAACACTAACCTGGGACTGTGAAATAAGCTGCCATGGGTCCAAAGAAACTTGCTAGTGGTACCCCTGTGGTAAAGAAAGTGAGAAACACCATAGATGTGAAGAAGGAAATAATACAGAAGTATGAGAGTGGTGCGAGACTTGTTGAGCTTTCCAGGATGTATGGGAAAAACAAGTCGACCATCGGTTCTATCCTGTCAAAGAAAGAACAAATCAAGGAAGCTGATGTTGCGAAAGGTGTTAATATAGGGAGTGGATGAGGTGCCTTCTTCAAAGATTAAGGAGATTTGTGCCAATTGGAATGATGTCCAAATGTTTGTGCAGAAGTACCACCCTGAGCAAGCTGAAACAAGCCATCTTTGCAACAAGTTCAGTGACAGAACCATGTCCCATTTTAGGGAAATGTTAAGAGGCACCAGAAACAGAGGACTGTGGACAGTTATTTTGTGAGACAGGGGTCCAGTGACTCTCAAGCTGGTCCTAGTGGCATTAAAAGACAGAGAAGGGAAGTAACCCCAGAGAGGGCTTTACTTGAAGTCCTCGTGGAGGGGGATTCTCCTTCCAAACACTAACCCCAGCTCCCTCTCTCCTCCTCCCTATCTTCCAGATGCCATCACCAATCTTCAATAAAGGTAAGCAAAAATGTTATTTTATATGTATTACTATACATAATTAAAAACTATAGTATTTGTTGTATGTAAAACTGTAATTAATCTCTCTAAAATGTATTTTTTATGTGAATATTTTTGGGTTTCTGGAACGGATTAATTGTATTTCCATTATTTCTTATGGGAAATATTGCTTCGAATTTCAGACTTTTCGAATTTAGAACTAGCTCCTGGAACAGATTAAGTTTGACTTTTGAGGTTCCACTGTACATCTTACGAGCCACCGTTTTTGGCATATGTATACTCATAAATTCTAGCGGCTTCAAATCAAGCAGGAGAAAGCTGGTAGACCCACATGTGGGAGAATGGGTCTGTGTGGTCAGTGTGCACCATATAAAAAAATCCTGCAGCACACAGTGCATAATGAGAAAAAAAAGACTCCAACTGTTTTTTTTTTATTATTAAAATGCCAAATTTGTGGTCTCTTTTTGTATAGTATTTATGGTTCTATTCTCCTTTCCTTGGTTTCATTTGATAGAATGGAAAACATATTATAGAAATAGAGGTGATTTTGATTGGTTTTACTATGAAAAGAACCTTAAAATGGAGCTCAAAGTAGGGGAAATGTTTGATTTTTGCCGATGTCCAAAAGTAAACAAATGATGTCATTTTCCAATAAATGTCCAAGTAGCCATTCTGATATGCAGTCATGAATGGGTTGACATTTATACAATTATTACAATATTGCAGTAGTCTGCATAACAGTAAATCTTCTATTTGTTTGAATAAAAATTCAAAACA